AATAAGCTCTGGCGAACCTTTCAGCATTTTCCTTAGGTTTTCTGTTGTTGATGCAGTTTGATGGCTGTATTGTCTGAAAGAGGGTTGGCGTATGTTATGTCCTCTAGGTCTAGACAGTGGAATTAATTCCTCTTGTTGAATTGTTATATTGTCTTGGTAAATAGTGTAACCAGTAATTGCTAGATAATTAAAACATAGGTCAGCAGACAGTTAAAATGTTGTTTGGATGACTTTAAGTTTTCGAAGACTTCAATTTGATCCGCGATATAATGTTTTAGGGTAACGGGAGACGCTTAGTCTGAGAGACATACCTTCGGTGCATTTATATCCACGTGTCACCAGGAAGATTCAAAACAGTATTGAAACGAAATGATAATGAACCTACCCTTGCGAACAAATGTTACAGTGACACAAGGTGTCCAATCCTACTCGTGCTGTCCGTCGTGAGATTCAAGCTAGCATGGGTTCTCTTCATCTCCGTGTACAAAACCGGACAGCTCGTTAACTCTCACGTATCCCGCTAGCTCACATTCCACTGACAAGTCATAGTCTCCTTGTTTCACATAGTTTGGTTGGTTTGCCGTTCCGAAGCAGGAATAGGGGCGGTGGAATAGCCTTGTAATTAGAGCATTCGCTCGTCACGCTGCAATTCTTGACCGATTGCTAGAACAGACAAACAAACAAACAAACAAACACATACATAAATATAATGAATAATACATGACCTTTTCACGGATTTAGAAGAGCATGACAATATAAATACAAATGTACATGTCTTACGACAGAACAACACGCGACAAGGGCATTGATGCTTTTAACTTTTGTTGTTGGTTGGTTGGTTTGTTGTTTAACGTCGCACTCAGCAATATTCCAGCTATATGACGGCGGTCTGTAAATCACCAAGTCTGGACCAGACAAACCAGTGATTAATATCATGAGCATTGATCCATGTAATTGGGATCGATGACATGAATCAACCAAGTCAGCGAGCCAGACCACCCGAATTCGCCTAGTCGCCTCTTACAAGCACAGTCACCTTTTACGGCAAGCATGGGTTGCTGAAGACCTATTGTATCCCGGATCTTCACGGGTCTTTCATTCTATCATTCCTGTTTTAATGGCCGAAAGCCCAGAAGATTTAAGAAAGTGTCTCACTATATTTGAAGAATATTGTACTATCTGGAAACTTAAAGTCAATGTTGACAAAACGAAAGTTGTTATTTTTGCCAAGCGCTCCACAAATAGAGTTTTCAAGTTTATGCTAAATGGCTCGTTTCTTCATGTTGTTAAAGAATATGTTTACCTTGGTATTTTATTTACAAACACTGGTAGATTCTGTAAGGCACTAAAGAGACTGACAGATCAGGCATCTAGAGCAATGTACGCTGTATTTCGTAAAATTAGAATATTAGAAATTCCTATTGACTGTCAACTGAAATTATTTGATCAACTTGTTCAGCCAGTATTGTTATATGGATCTGAGGTGTGGGGTTTTGAAAATGCTGTTGTCATTGAACGTGTACATCTTAAATTTTGTAAATATATTCTCAAGTTAAAACAGTCAACACCCGATTACATGGTATATGGTGAACTAGGGAGGTATCCTCTCAGCATTTTCATTAAGATAAGAATGATTTCATATTGGTGCAAGCTAACATCATCACAAACTAGCCTTTCTAGTATAGTATATAAACTTATGTTTCAAATGTCCATTGCAAATCCAGATTACCATTTCCCACTATTAAAAGAAGTAAAATGCATTCTTCAAAATATAGGCTTTAATTACATTTGGCTGTCTCAAACCTTTATTAGTGCCGCATGGTTGAAACAAAATGTGAAACATGTTCTCATTGATAATTTTCTGCAAAGATGGCGAGAATCAAAGGAAAATTCATCTAAAGGTTACTATTATAACATGTTTAAAGAGTTACCATCTCTAGAACCTTATTTACTAGAACTACCAATCACCTTACGCATCTCTCTTGCTCGTTTTAGAACAGCAAATCATAGATTACCCATTGAAACAGGAAGATGGTATAATATTGTGAGAGAGAAAAGAAAATGTACATTGTGTAAAAAATTTATATGTGATGAAATGCACTTTTTATTAGAATGTCCAAAACTCTCAGAAATTAGAAACAAGTTTTTGCCTCAATACTACTGTATGTATCCTTCTGCCGTAAAATTCTCTCATTTGATGTCCATTACTTATAAGCCAACTCTATTAAAACTGGCAAGTTATATAAGATCATGTATGGAAATGTTCCACTGACATGTTTTCTTCATTGTATCTTATTCCTGTGTCCAATTACATCTCTGTATCACTGCCGTGATTTACGAGAATAAACATCATTCATGGACAAAGAATGAATCTCAGGAACCATCAACAGTTTCAATTTCCTATTTGAACAGTGTTGAAACTAGACTTGGCATCTGAAAATGTAACTCCGCTACTTGTTACTGCCAGGATTAATGGAACTGCTACAAGCCTGTTGGTAATATAATCACAGGTTTCTATTGTTGATAACAACAACCTTCGTTAGTCATACACAAATCGAACAAAACAGCCTGCTATCAATTGGGATAACAACTTTTAAATTGTTATGGAATTTGTTAATTTTAATCCCACGAATGGGCCAAAAGAGAAGTTGAACCTGTTTTAAGAGCGGATTCAGCCAGTGCGTGGTGTTGTCATTGACAGAATGCACACACTGAGAGAGAAGAAACAGAAATGGAATAACCATATTCTGTCTCAGACAGATTTCATATACAAACTAGCTGACATTTATGAAAGGGTAATGCCTCAAATAATATAACCATTATATGTAAGCACCACCACATTAATTGTTTGATCAAAGAACTTGGTATACGCTGAACGAGAGATATATAAGATATAATGCCACATATGCGGCCAGCGTGATAATTGAAGAAGAAATGTGACAAAACCAGTCAAAAGTACTATCAACTTTTGACTTGTACTATCAACTTTTGACTTGATTCTAAATCCTGATGACATGGCCATGGACATTCTTCTTTTGGACTGGATTCTAAAGCACCATAAAAATCCGTACAAAAAAGAGATATTGCAGGATCCAGCAAATGTACAACGAATTCGGTGTCTCATGGATGAGCCGTACTCCTTAATACAATCAAGTTAGGAACTTCTTGATATTCACAGAAAGTATTTGAGAACAGTTAAATTAATACCATAAGGACTCGGTTTGATTGCCTAAGTTTTTGAAATCTCAGAATAGAGCCAAATTTAATTCTGTGAAACACTTTACACTTTAAACACAACTGTCCCATACGAATAACTTAAGAAAATAACGTCATTCCTTCACCCATGTGCAGTTATCACTAAACAAGGTTACCATAGATGTAGTTCTCTCTATCTCTAGCGTCCAAGGACAAATTTTTTGAAAGCAAATGTCATCTGAAGTTTTTTGAGGAAACAATATAAGAAATGCTTGACTTCTTCATAGATAACATCTATGTGAAAGTTAGTAATAGGACATTAAGGCAAGAACTAGTGACCGAAAGGGTACCATGTGTGCTCTCCATGTTTCGTTATGCCTATGAATCCGAATTTCTAATCGGAATGGCAAAATGAAAGAATCGAAGTTGGCAAAGACGTTTTACTTAAGCTTCAGGTATATCGATGATCTGCTAGTTCAATAACTGTTAAATAGCCAATTCTCTTTCATTGATGTACCCACCTACGGAGAAATAAAAGAGATCAGTGACACCTTCTAATCTATTTTATAGTTATATACATGAAGATTCAAAGCGACAATAAAGTGTCCACAAGACGGTATGACAAGAAGGATGGCTTCAGCTTTCCAATAATCAACTTTCCGAGCAATATTTCAGCAGTCCCAACCTTTTGTTTCTACATTTCACAACTTGTAGGGCTCAATGGAGCATGCTTTTTCTACGTAGATTTCAACAAGCATCATATGACTTTCGCTCAGACGTTATTTGATCAAGTTCACGGCCTCAATAAAGCTTGTGGTCCAAATTTGACGCATGTGTGACAAAACTGATGTCCGAAGCAATTCCTTATTTTGAACATATGTTCCAAGGTTTTTTCAGGCGAACACTTGAAATGCCTGTGTGTATGTGTATGTGACAGTGTTCACCTGTAGGGTATGATACGCTTACCGTTTCGGGAACATGCTTTTGATAGAGTCGGAACCGTTCAACGGACTTTTATTACTGATTTCTATTTATGGAAATAGTTATATCGCTTTCATGTTCAATTTATCTATTCGTAATGTGTAATATATGCCAAATTGGAACACTGTTGATCATGATACAGCAACAAAATGTTGTAATATTATCACTGAATGTCTGGATGTCTGTCGTAGGTCGTACTTTGGATCGTGTATATAGAGAATGGCATTAAAGGGATGGACAATCACGGCTGACTATAAATAACCGATCTTGGATCAGACAAACCATTGATTGATATTAACAGCAATGTCCAACACTGTCGGTGTACAGTGACACGGAATCAACAATATCACCGAGCCTCGTTCATCCTATCACATTTAGCTGCATCTTTCGTGAAGGAATAGAATGGGACTTATCCAAGCCGGGCCACACATTGATGTAGAAAGGATCTATAAGTTGATTAAAGATCACAGGACAATTTTGTTTTAAAGAACATAGGATCTGAAATATGTAAATTAACAAACTGATGAGAAAAAATACATAATACTCTTTAGCAATATGTGTGTAAATGCATCAATTTGTAAATTTGTAAAAGGATGCACGTCAATATGACAATCATGGAAGAAATAGTAGCGATACCAATACCCATGTATGTATGTGAAACCTATGTGATTGGATACCGGCGACTGTCCCTACCTATAGCAGGTAAGCCAGCGGAATCTTTGCCGGCTCGTGCATCACGTGCACAGACAGTGGCCACTCGATCAATGCCTGTTCACGACGGCAGATCCTTCAATCCAAGCCTTGTGTCAGGTGGGACTGATTCTCAGCTCAAGATCACATAAGGTAAGAAGGGTAATCTTGTGATCCTTTCATTCTGCCAGCTTGGCGCTAGTAGACCATGCACAAAATTAACTACATTACTGAAAAGCTGTCAAAGAGTATTATAGAGTTCTGTAGTGAATAGTGTGCTGAGGTATGGGCAAATGCGATTATTGATTTGAAAATATGAAAATCCCTATTTTGCACTTTGGGCAATTGATTAATATACTTCGCGTGAACGCAGGGGTCAATTATACACTTTGTAATAATCAATTATGAACTTTCTGTTATAAGCATATAAACATGATATGTAACGTTACCATTACCAAAAACACATCAGGTAAAGACCTTCTACTAATTTATGCTGATGATTGTTCCATATTGTGAAACAACAACGAACTTTGGGATATTTATGTAGGATTGTCAGTAGGGTATGATACAAGTAAGTTGGAAGAATATGGACACCGCCTGGGACATTATGTAACTCCCTCCACCAAGACAGGAATATTCTTCCGTGTGTATTCCAAATAACATTAATATGTACAAATGCTAACTTCGAAGCTTCGTTGCTCAAAGGAATTATGTTCCATCTAAAATGTTCGCATTAAGAAAACATAATTATTGGAAAGATCCTTTAATACCAGTGAAACACAGTAGCCTTTAATCTTAGTAAACATGGTAGCTGATAAAACACTGGAAAATAACTGTTCAGACAGATTGGTTCCTGTTTCCAATGTTAGGAACGACAATGCCATTTGGGGGGTCTCGTGTATCCACTACTTTTCCCCATGGAGTAGATTAATCCCATAAGTAACCCATTGCTGACCCCGCGACGATTCCGGAGTGGATTATATGTCCTATTCGACTAAAACATGTCGTATGAACCGACAAAGATGAGGATCAGGTGGTTACAGTGTGTCATCTTCACTGATTGTTGTCAACGTATATCATTGCTCAACGAAAATACCCTTGATGGATCAGTCACGTATAGATACACTATTTCTGTCGCTAACGTTGTCTGAATATTACCCCAACGCGACGAAACTAAACATATCTCTGTGAAGTGTCGTCAACGAACCGTCAGCCTTTAATGAACTGCCGTGAATCAGTATCGATGTCGAAGGTAGGACAGGTGTGGCCGGGGGCAAGAATTCCAACTTGATCCAAAAATCACTACACCACTAATACAGCATAATGGATGACATTTGAACACATAAACCTTATCGAATGTCGCATGTACCTATTGTACTAGAACTAAAGTAAGACCGGAGTAAAACATGCTTGTCTATTGTTGATTGTAATTTGACGACGATTGTCGCCGCAAAATCTCCAAGGATGGCTCTCACGCATCGTAAGCATTTTTTTAATCAGGCATGCTTGCCTCAAGTTAACACAATACTCTTTAGGTTGCCTTACTCTCACAGACAGCTGATACAGTAATTTCAAGAGACATCCTGACATTCTATACTGTGTAAACTCCTAATTACAACATATCCTTTTGATTTTATTAGAACAAAACTCCTAACGCCCAGAGCTCCTGACACCGATTCAAGGGAGAGTACTCATCAAATGTAGAAGGTTTAAGTCATAAATAACTACAATAAATGTTATTAGATTAAAAAACCTTAATGTAATTTGGAAAAGAAATCACCTTTGGGTGTCAATTAAAAACACCGCACCAAATTATGGTGCACGAGTTGCATTGGGAATAAAGAGCAAAACTAGTGTATGTTTTTGTAATGTATCAGGACAAAATTACTTTTAACTTCATCAAGGTATAACGAAGTAGTTGAGTCTTGTTGTATCTTGCCAATTTCCATATCCACAGAAATATAAATACAAGGAGCGGTGGGGTAACCTAGCGGTTCGCGATCGCTCGACACGCCGAATACCAAGGTTCGATTCCCCACATGGATACTATGTGTGAAGCCTATTTCTTGTGCCCCCCATCGTGATATTCCTGTAATATTGCTAAAAGCGTTGTAAAACAACACTCACTCACTCGTAAAAATAATGTCAAAGTATAGGTAGATTATGTTACACCTATATTACAAATGTTTTCTAAAAGCCAGAAACAAAATGAACGTTTAAAGGAGAAGTATAAAAAAAACCACCACACGCTATTTTACACAACCAATTTAAAACCGAGGAACTGCTAAAAACACATGCTTATTTACAACTACGGAGATCTGAAGAATTATATCAGGTAAGTTCAAATGCATGTTTCTTTTATGTTTCCAAATTTTTCCAGGCGGTGTAATTTAAGGAACTGACCATCTTTGAACTGTAGTTCACTTATAAGACATTCTCACCCAGTGACACGAAAATACACAAAACTTGAAAATAAAGTTACCAGATAAAAGTATTTGCTTTTGCACAAGTGTTTTGTTTTTCTTGTCTTGTCTGTACCATTTCCTTTTTTTTTACTTGTCACAAAAGGAGACATTTCAATAATAACGATATCAACAACAGGATGTAACAGTAAATTTATTTCTAATTATTTCATTATGTTAAACCTATATTCATATGATACGGACGTGTGATAGACGTTTTGCAATTCGTCATATCACGAGAAAAAATCATATGTGATGGTCATAAACACTGAAAACAAAAAGAATGCTGATTTTGCAAATGTTCTTATCACATCGGCGTTTGTCAGATATTCAAATGTCACAATATTGACCCTTTTCCAGTAACGAGAATGTTGTTTGGTCGGTTTGGTTAATATGTACTGACTTTATAATGCGAAATGTGCTTGATTTCCTACGTGATATTTGCAAAATGTCATTTTTGTCTAATAGAACAAGTAACACAATGCTAAGGATACCGCGCGTATAAATCGAATGGTGGGATCTATTTTATATTATATATTAAGAATTACTTAATAATTTCGTTTAAATTAGAATGGCATAGGGCACGAATAAACAACTAGGTGATCAAGAATAATATCCAGCAAACAGAAGTACAGTGATAACTGGACTTGAAACAAACTTGGAAGATTTCCGAATTTTAAGGGCAGACTTATCCTTTCTTGCCTAAGCCATTCTTACATGGTTTTAGCGATTAAGAATGAGTTTCCTGCTTACTGAAAGAGGCCTGGTGAATTATATTATTTTGAAACTAGATTTCACACGAGAAACACATGTTTCCTAGCCTTAGAAAATTCCGCCTCACGGTGTCAAGTAACACCCTATTGCAATCACTTATTGAAGATACTGCTTTTAGACATGGTCAGTGGCAAGACCATTTGGTTTTAGATGTAAAGCGTACTGAAGAAATGTAAGAAATACATTTACCAGATAAAACATTTACTTTTGGGCAAGTGTTTTGATTTTCTTATCTTATCTATACACTTTTCGTTTTTCTACTTGTCTCATAAAAGGGGACATTTTAATAATAACTAAATACATGGGATGTAACTGTAAACACGTCCAATTATTTCATTATGTTGCATCTATATTCATATGATACGGACGCGTGATAAACGTTTGGCAATTCGTCATAACATGAGAAAAACTGGTAACGTGTGATGGTCATAAACACTGAAAACAAAAAGAATGATGATTTTGCTTTTTTTGTTTGTTCCACTGTATGTTCGTCAGACGTTAATATATCACAATATTGCCCCTATCTAGTAACGAGAATGTTGTTTGGTCTGTAAGGTTAATATGTGTAGTCAGACAGCAAGCCAGACTGATGTACTGATGTTTCAGTCGTTGGAAACAGAACATGTGTACTTACTTTATAATGTGAAACGTGTTTGATTTCATTTGTGATATTTGCAAAATGTCATTTTTGTCTAAAAGCAAAGAAAGTAATATGATGCTGAGGATACCGTGAGTATTCATCGAAAGATTGGATCTATTTGATGTTATATTTTTAGAATGACTTAATTGTTTCGTTTAGCTGGGAGTGGCATAGGACACGAAATAAACAACTAAGTGATCAAGAATAATATCCAGCACACAGAAGTGCGGGGACAAATGAACTTGAAACAAACTTGGAAGATTTCCGAATTTTAAGGGCAGACTTATCCTTTCTTGCCTCAGCCATTCTTACATGGTTTTAGCGACTTTGAATTAAATTCCTGCATACTGAAAAAGAACTAGTGAACGTATCATTTTGAAACTAGGGTTTCTCACGAGAAACACTTTTTTCATAGCCATAGAAAATTGCGCCTCACGGTGTCAAGTTGCACCCAATTGCAATCATTTTTTGAAACAATATGCTTTTAGACATGGTCAATGGCAAGATCATTTGGTATAAGATGTAAAGCGTACAGAAATGGCTGCGTGTAACAAGGATGTTTGCAGTCGGTGAGAGCAAAAGAAACATAAATTACAAGATTAAGTAAAACGAATTCTTGAAAGCACTGTTTCATGATATCTACCGTCAAATTGTATCTGTTAAAATGTCCAAAAAAGGAAACTTACAATCTGAGATGCACATTTTTTTTTCTTGCCTTGGCAATGTCCCGGGTTGGATTTCCGAAATTGAAGTTTTTTTTAACAGTCCTGTATTTGGATGATGGTTCTCCTTGCTGTAGCTTGCTCAAATTCTATTGATTCACTCACTCACCCTAATGAGGAACATTACGATGAGCAAAACGTATCTGTTACTAGTTGAATACATAGGAACTATCATATATTTAATCGCGAAGAAGAAAAACTAAAAGAGAAAAAAGTCTCTCATCTGTGGCTCATGAACATGCATTCCCGGACACATGACAGAAACGAGCTAGAAATTCTTAAGTCACAGGATCTACAATCATATGACACCAGGTGTTCAAGAAAAAGATGATCATGCACTGTCCCCTCTGGAGCATCTGTTGTGCATGCATAACAGACAGTCATGATCACTATTCACATGGCAAGTGTGAGGCCACTACTAACATTTACAGTATTCGCGGATAACGATGATTTCAAAAGCATAACACTTATAAATGCTAATTTGCATTTGTGAAGCATGTCAAGACTCATGATAAAAACAAGGCATTCCACGGGTTTCTTAAACGACCCAAGGGT